CAGCGCCAGGCCCAACGTGCGAGCGGAGAAGCCCGCCTCCGCGCCAGCGTGCAGCAACAAGCTCATCGAGACGCGACGGATCCCGATCCAGCCGTGGTCGGTCCTCATGATGCCGACGTCGCTTCCGAGCCTCTCGGTCCCGTTGAAGGCCACGACTGTCCCGCGGTCACCCGCGGCGGTCGACTCCGTCATCGCCCACTCTGGGCTAGCAGGAACTGCAAAAGGCGACGAGCCTGCTGGCGCCGCCGGAGCCCCGCCCACCACCGCAGGCGCACCAGCGCCCAAGGGAGGAATGGCGGCGGCCGCCCCGGCAGCGACACCGAACCCAGCTGTTCGGCCATGCCCCACGCCAGCCAGAGCATCAACACCTCCAGCCTCGGCGCCAGCAGAAGCGCCTCCGGCTCCAGCGGCAGGAACCACGGCACCTCCACCGTCCACGCCGAAGTCGAACGCGACCCACGAGCCCCCAGCAGGAAGCACGGCTGGGCGACCTCCAGCGGTTTCGCGCGCCAGGTAGGTCTCGCCCGCCACCTGAGCAATCGCCGCCAAGATGGCTGTCTCCTCGCCTGCAGTCAACTTTCGCCGAAAGCCGTACAGCTGCGCAAGATCCAGCCCCCCACGATCGCGTCGACCCCCAACGAAGCGCACCCCGAGGACATCTGAACTTTCCCGACTGAAATTATCTTCATACACGTCGTGGTCGGGCGTGCAACTGATCATCATCATCGGATCCCTCGGAGGCCCGGGCGGCGGATCCACCAAGCGGCCCCAGATGCGGCGTTGATGCCACCGCCGCTCTCCGGCGAACAAGCGCGCACGTCCGGCGGAGGCGTGGTTATCCTCCAGCGCGGGAGGTCGCCGGCGCCTCGTCTGGTACCACGTTCGCACCGCCGCGAACCAGCGGATAGCAAAACCAGGACCGTCAGCAGGGCCGCCAAGGCGAGGTGCGCCACAGCGTAGCCAGCTCGGCCAGCCAAGTCCCGACCGACGGCCCCTCACTCGAGGCGGCACTCGGCGCCTCCGAGCGCGGCGGCGGCACCTCAGGGGCAGGCGCGGCCGTTACCTCCGGCACTGGTGGCGAGGGCGGCTCCCAAGGCGGGTCGCCTGGGCCGCTGCCAGCGACGCCGCTGGCCTGCAAGGGGGAGATCCCCGCGGGCACCGCAGGCTCGGGCACGTCGGGCAGCTCGCCGACGGACACGAGGGGCAGTTCAGGTGCGGGCGGCCAAGGCAGGGCGGGCACGGCTGCGATCGGGCGGGCACGGCCAGGGCAGGGCGGGCGGGCGGGCAGGGCGGGCACCAATATGCGGTCAACAGCGGAATGACGGTGCCCAGAAGCCAAAACCCGTTGCGGAGTCCCGGCATGAGGACAACACAACAGCTTGAGCATTGACGCGACATACGGTCGCAACGGCGCCCTCACCCCCTTACTCGCAGAGAATACCAGGCACGCCAGAGCAATACATACAGGGCCCCAAGTCCGCCGATCCAGCGTGTGAGTTTCTGAGAGCGTGGGCTTGAGCTCGCTCAAGCTTCGCTCTGGGGGGGGGATCCGGCGAATTATCCACGCAATTCAGTGAAAGCTCCAGCGCGGGGGGGGGGGTCCAAGAATCGAGGGGGGGGGGGGGAGCTCGACCGAGGACGGGGGGGGGGGGGTCGAGCTCAAGCGGGGGCGGGGGTCCAGCGCGGAGGGGGGGGGGGGGCAAAGAATCGAGAGGGGGGGGGGGAGCTCGAGTGAGGACGGGGGGGGGGGTCGAGCTCAAGCGGGGGGGGTCCGCCGGGGGGGGGGCAAAATGGAGGGGGGGGGAGCTCGAGCGAGGACGGAGGGGGGGTCGGAGCTCAAGCGGGGGGGTGTCCAAGGAGGGGAAAGGTCGAGCGGGGGCGGAGGGGGGGTCGAGCTCAAGCGGGCGGGGGGGTCCAAGAAACCGGGGAGGGCAACGGGGGGGGGGGGGGATCCAAGAATCGGAGGGGGGGGGGAGCTCGAGCGAGGAGGGGGGAGTCGAGCTCAGCGAGGGGGAGGGGACAAGGACGAAGCTCGAGGGGGGGCGGGGAGGGGGGTCGAGCTCAAGCCCGGGAAGGGGGTCCAAGAAAAGTCGGGGGGGGGGGGTCCTCAAGCGGGGGGGGGGGGTCCAGAATCGAGGGGGGGGGGGGTCGAGCTCAAGGGGAGGGGGGGGGGTCAAAAACGCGGAGGGGGGGAGGTCCAAGAATCGAGGGGGGGGGGAGCTCGAGCGAGGACGGGGGGGGGGTCGAGCTCAAGCGGGAGGGGGGGGGTCCAGAAAACCGGGAGGGCAGCGGGGGTCTGGGTCCGAATCGAGAGGCGGGGGGGGGGGGGGGCTCGAGGCGAGGACGGGGAGGGGGGTCGAACTCCAGCGAAAAGGGGTGGGTCAAGGACTACGTTTCGAGCGGGGACGGGGAGGGGAATTCGAGCTCAGCGGGGGGGGGGGTCCAGAATTGTCTGGGGGGGGGGGGGGAGAAGGGGGTCCAAGGAGGAAGCTCGAGCGGTCGAGCTCAAGCGGGGGGGGGTCCAAGAAACCGGGAAGGGCAGCGGGGGGGGGGATCCAAGAATCGAGGGGGGGGGAGCTCGAGCGAGGACGGGGGAGGGGGTCGAGCTCAAGCGAGGGGGGGTGTGTCCAAGGTCGTCGTCGTCGTCATCGTCCGTTCCCACACGCATCGGGAGCGCCCCGGATCGGCGGCACTTGCCAGAGGCCATTACGATCGAAGACGAAGAGGGCGGATATCGAGATATTAGGGTACACATATTTGTTGAATGACACGCAACCGTCGAATAATGAACACTCTGACACGTGGTTGCTGTGTTTCGTTATTGATCTTTTTTTATTGCCATTGGCTTGCTGTTGTTGCTGCTGCTGCTGCTGTTGTTGTTGTTGTTGTTGTTGTTGTTGTTGTTGTTGTTGTCGCTGCTGGTGCCGTTATTTCAGTCCATGTCATACGGTGTTATCATTCCAATCACCATTGCTGTCAATGCTGCCGTCATTGTTGTCTTGTCTGGGCATCAGAACTTCTTGCTGTCCACCTGTTATGCTGATGTCGTCATTGCTGATCATGTGGTTCTTATGTACATACGGCTGTCATCCGTGTTTTTCGTATATGATGTAACATAATCGGCGTTTGCTTAAACGCACTGACTGCGTTTTCGCCGACCTCTGCCGGCTTTGCTGACGTGGTTGCGCTCATGCTTGGGTTCGACGTGGGGGGCAAGCTTTCGCGGGTCTAAGCCAGCTACGGTAGGCTGCGAATCATGTCGCGCAAGGCAGATCTGGGGGCCCAAACGCTTACGGTTGGGGCGCGTGCCTGCGTTGATGCTGTCCCTCATCATGCACTGCTAGCATTGATGCTGCTTGTTGCTTGCCTGCACTGGCATCGCCCTCCGTCGCAAGGCCGTCGCTGCAGGGGCGAGGCGGGTCATCTGCGAACCAGGCACAGAAGCTCTCGCGCAGGGGTCCTTTGGAGAACTGGCGGAACGGGGAGGTCAGGGAGGGGGGAGGAAGGGGTACGAGAGAGGGACGGGGAGAGATGGAGGACAGGTGGAGTGGATGGGGAATTATAATGAGGGGAGGTAGGACAGAGGATGGAGACCACCGCGCGCAACTCCGAGGCACGAGAACTCGTTTCGGTCGGCGCGGCCCGCGCGCGGGCGGCCGCCGCGGCGGGCGCGCGCGCGGGAAAGGGGCCGAGCATGCAGCCGCTCAAGATCGGCTTGCGCCCTGGGGGCCACAGCGGAAGTGGTGGCCAGGTGGCAACATGGGAGTATGTACTTTTAGGGAACAGGGCGAGAGAACATTCTATATAGAGAGACGCGGGGGGAGGAGGAGGAGAGGGAGGAGGAGGGAAGGAGGAGGAGGGAGGAGGGAGGAGGAGGAGGAGGAGGAGGAGGAGGAGGGAGGAGGAAGGAGGAGGAGGAGGAGGAGGAGGAGTGGGAGGAGGGGAGGTAGGAGGAGGAGGGAGGGAGGGAGTGGAGGGAGGGAGGGAGGGGTAGGAGTAGGAGCAGGAGGAGGAGGCGGAGGAGGAGGGAGGGAGAGGGAAATGATGATGAGGGAGAAGCGAAGTGAGGGGGGAGGGATGAGAGAGGATGGGGGAGGAAGAGCAGCAGTAGCAGCAACAGCAGCAGCAGCAGCAGCAGCAGCAGCAGCGGCGGCAGCAGCAGCAGCAGCAGCAGCGGCAGCAGCAGCAGCACCAACGGCAGCAGCACAGGCAGCGGGCCACTCCGCACCCGGCCAACCGCGGCCCCGTCCCCCCCCCCCACTCACACATCAGAGGCCCGCTCCAACGACCGCAAAGGGGGGGAGCAGGAGGGCGAGAGGAGGGGAGGTGGACGAGGAATGGGCGAAGCAATGGGGCCCGCACCAACGACCTCCAGTGGGGCGAGCAGGAGGGCGATGAGGGGAGGGGGACGAGGAATGGGCGCAGCAGTGGGAAGGGGGGGATGGGGCGGCAGCCTGGGACGGCTGGTAGGAGGATCACGCTGAACATAGAATGACGGCTTTCGCGCGCCCCGCGCGTCGCAAGAGCTGCACGGAGCGGAGCTCTGCACCGGACGCCTTCGGCCACTCGATGTCAGTATATCTATGAGAGACAGCTTCGGGGCATGGTGGGGAGGCGCTGCACGCCTTCGCCCTCGGCCAGCCCACGCCCCGCGCTCTCCCGCTCACGCCTCCGTGCGGAGAGCGCACTCTCTTGACGAGGCTCGGGCGGCCGACGCGCAGCCAGCCACAGCACGCGCCAGAGGCCGATCCAGGGACTCGCGCCGCCTCCGCGCCCCCCGCCGCCGCGCGCCCGCGCCCGCGGGCGCGCGCGCTGCTGCCCGCGCCGCCGCCCGGCGAGGGTGCCGCTGAGCGCAGCTCGGCGGGCTGCTCGGCGGCACGGCCCCGCCTGGCACGCAGCGCGCTCGCCGACGGGGCGTCCCTGCAGCGCGCCGCTCGCGTGGCCACTCCTGCAGCTGCACGTTCTCTGGCGAGACGTCCTCGGGGGCGGCGCCCAGGGGCTCAGCCGTCGGCCCATGCGTGGGCACACCGGTGCTCTTCCAGCCTGCGCTCCTCCAGTCTCCGCCCGCCCGCGTAGAGGGAGCTCACCGCGCTGCTGCTCCTCTTCTTGCACGTGGACCACAGGTCCTTGTGGATCATAACGATGTCGCTGCACTTGAGCTTCCCAGGGCAGTCCTGCGCGTGCTGGTGACTTCTCCCTTTCCCTCCCTCATCCCTCCCCCCTTCCCTCCCTCATCCCCCCTCTCTTCCCTCTTCACCCCCATCCTTTCTCGGTTCCCCTGCCCCTCCCTCCTCCCTCTTCTCTCCTCCCTTTTCCCTTCCCTTCTCTCTCTCGCTCTCTTCTCCGCCCACCTCGCGCCCCGCCGGCTTCCACCTCCCCCTCTTCACATCTTCACAATCACCCAATACGAATAATACTCTCCCTTCTCCCCTGGCTCTGTGCAGAACTTGCTCCGCCCTCTCCGCGTTGTTGTCTGACGCAGAATTTCAAAAGCGTGTGTTTTTCGTATGACATGTCTGTACGATCTGGTCGTTTTCGGTCCTTCAAAATGGTGCCGCCCCTTCAGCGTGGGCCTCAGTTTAGGATCGGCGATTTGCTCCCGTCGTTCGGAATGGCACCCTCGCCCCAGCGCAGGCCACTTTTCTGGATCTGAGCCCTCCCTCGCCGTTGTCGCCCCCCCTCGTTTCCCCTCCTCCCCCTTCCATTCGGTCCTCCCGCTCCTCCCACTCCTTCCGCGCTGTGCGTCCTCGTCCTCCTCCTCCTTTTCCTCCGCTGCTTATCCGCCACCTCGTCCTCCAGTACGAGCAGCTCCCTCTTCTGATTGTGCACAGCACGATGGAGTCTTTTTTGCAATTCCAGATCCGTTTTGATACGCGCCAGCGGAGAAAGAAAAATCAGCGCAATGGGAAGGGATGGGTGGGAGGGGTAGGACGTAAGACATGGCGCGAGCGCACCTACCTTGCCCACCCCTCTCCTCTCCCCCTCCCTCCTCTCCCTCCTGTCCTCCTTTCTCCCTCCTGACCTCCTGACCCCTCCTCCCTCCCCACTTCCAGGGAGCAAAAAAGGCACCAATACCGCTACTCTCTGGGTCTCTCCCGGGGTGCGCCTGACCAAACTCTCGAGGAGAATTCAGCCGTGGAAACGACGGCTCTCCAGCACGAGCTGCAGTATCGGTATAATTTCCTCCTCTGACACTCTCTGCCGCCTCCTCGCACAACCTACTTTTTCCACCACGTCGACCCCCCAAAGTCTGGACCCTTTCCACGGGACCGGTTTTTCATCATGTTTTTTTTGACGGTCCCGAAGCCCCGCGAAGACCCTTGGAAGCCGAAAACGGCCCAAAATCTCCCGTCGTGATTTTTCACCACGAGAGGGGGTGGTGGGGAATTGGCCCCCTCTCCAAAGGGCAATCCTGCATGTGCTGGTGATTCCAAACGCACCTGTCCACCTGCACGGCCCGCGGCAGAGTGACCCCTGCCTCCGCCGCGGCCTGCGCGGCGAGCGAGAAGTTCTTGTAGAACATCATGTGGAAGAAGCCCTCCCCACCGCTTCGCCCCACCCCTCGCCCACTGCCTCCGCTTCCTCGTCGCTCTCCTCCTCCCCCTCCTCCCCCCCCTCCTCCCCCTCCTCCTTTTCCTCCTCCTCCTCCTCCTCCTCAGTCTCCTCCGCTCTCCCCGCGATTCCTTTCCTCCTCCAGGTGATCCTCTCCAAGCAAAGGAGGAGGATGAGGACGAAGGCCATTCCGGCCCCCGCTGGCCCCCGCTGCGCGCGGGCTCCGCGAGCCAGCCTGGCGCCCCCCCCACCGCGGCGAGGCGCTGTCTTGACGATCTTATAGCTTCTAGTTCGTTGAGAGGGCCACGGCATGGTCTGGGCATGGTGCGCTCACGCAGCACGCGCAGCCAGTCTTCGCGGTAGAACCAGCAGTCAATTCCTTGGCCCGACAGGCCCGCCTCTTTCGCAGAGTCAAGCAACGAGCGGCCCCAAGAACCGCAGGCGACGAGATGCAGCAGCAAAATGCGTTCGTCGAAGAACTTCGTGATACTGTCTCCCACCAAAGTATCCAGCCGCACGAGTGGCACGATTGGTGGTACAATCAGGAGTGGTGGCATAATCAAGCAGACCATCCAATGCTTGGTCCGACCAGCGGCGGTAGCAGCGGGAGTAGGCTGCACAAAGAGATGGTTCAAGAAGCATGGCGGCATAAAGGTGGTTCAAAACAAATTGCTGCATGAAAGGGTGGCTCAAAGAAACGCAGTAGTTCAGTCGCCATCAACCGCGAACAAGAAAAGACGTGCACGAGAAGACGCAACAATGACAACAAACAACGGTTCGGTGCGATAAGAATCCGCAATGGCAGCGGTGGCAGCCGGTAGAGGGTACCGTACGTCATCACCTACAGACGAAGGAGGAGGAAGATGAAAAGGAGCAGGTGAGAGAGATGGGCATCAGACGTCGTCAGCTGTATGCGTAGACCAATGTATGCGAGAGGAGCCTGCAGTGGCAACAGACAGATGCACAGGAGCTGGACATCGGAAGTCATCAACTGCAATCTTGGACCAACTTGCACGAGGCGCCTACGGTGGCAACAGATATTGGGGCAAGAATCGGATACAAGACGTCATCAACTAGTGGACCATGTATGCGAGAATAGTAGGCAGTGGCAGCAGATAGTGGCGCTGGATACCAGACATCTTCGGCCACAACATGGAAGCAGTGTGTGCAAAAAGTACTGGCAGCGCGAGCGGATGGTGGTGCAAGTGATGGACAACAGACGTAATCAGCTACATGCGTAGACAAGCGTCTGAGAGAAGAGGTGGCAAGGGCAAGAGACAGTGACTCGGGAGCTGGATACCAGACCCCACCAGCTGCAAGCTCGGACCAGGGTTTGCGCGAAACGCCTACAGCAGCAACATATAGTGGTGCAAGAGCTAGATATCAGACACCATCAGCTACGCGTGTGGACTCGAGTGTGAGAGAACAGGCGGCAGTAGCGACAAAGTATAATGCAAAAAGCTAGTTACCGTATACGTGCCACTATCAGCGACAGGAGGGAAACAACTTGTGCAAGAAATACGGGGAGTGGCAACAAATGGTGAAAGCGCTGGATATCACACGTAATCAACCACATGCGTGTCCAAGCGCGTGCGAAAAAGAAGCGGCCGTGGTTACCAACTTTCATCAACCACATACGTGCGAATGACGGCAAGCTCGCAGCCGTACACGGCCGCCACCGACACCAAGCGTCATTATCAGCTACAGGTCTGGAGCTGTATGTAACCAGGTTGACATCAGCTATAAGCTCGCAGTCACATGTGTAAAAACATGTGGCAGTGGCAGCAGGCAGTGGAGCGTGCAACGTGCTCAGCCGTTGCTAGGCACAGACTCGGCGCGGTGCGTGCGAGAGGTGCCAGCAGTGGCTGCTGCCAGCGGTGGCGACGACAGCCTCTGGTCGACCCAAAGACATGGACGATCTGGCCAACGCCACCAGCAAGCTCGACGACGCAGCCACGGCCACCCGGCTGCGGAGCATGCCGCGATCTGAGGCCCAGACCCAGCAACCTTATGCCTTGATATACATCCCGATGGAAAGATTAAGTTCGGAGTTCCTGGGGGAGGGTGACATTTTCCCCCGGAACTCGCATGTAGGGATGTACGGTGTACGGATGTACAGTGTACGGAGTGTGGTAACAGTAGTAGTAATCGCAAAAGAAATTGCAGTAGTAGTAGTAGTCGTAGTAGTAGTAGTAGTAGTAGTAGTAGTAGTAGAAATAGTAGTAGTAGTAATAGTAGTCGTCGTAACAATACTATTAGTACTAACAATAATAATCGTAGTGGTAGTAGTAGTAGTAGTAGTAGTAGTAGTAGTAGTAGTAGTAGTAGTAGTATTGGTAGTAGTAGTAGTAGTAGTAGTAATCGTAGTAGTAGTAGTGATAGTAGTAGTGGTAATAATAATAATAGTAATCGTGATAGTAATAGTAATCATGATATTATCAATTCTAGTCGTAGGGTCAGTAGTAGTAGTAGTAGTAATAGTAGTCGTAGTAGTCGTAATACTCGTAATAACGGTAATAATAGTCGTACTTGCAGCAGTGATAGTGGTAGTAGCAGTAGTAGTAGTAGTAGTAGTAGTAGTGGCAATAGTAGTAGTAGTGGTAATAATAACATTCGTGTCGCTCGTCGTAGAACAAGATTAAGTAGTAGTCGTAGTAGTCGTAGTCGTAGCAGTGGCAGTAGTAGCCATAGTAGTAGTAGTAGTAGTAGTAGTAGTAGTACTAGTAATATGAAGGTGGTAGTTGGAATATTATTATTAGTAGTAGTACTTGTAATATTAGGGGTATTCGTAGTACTAGTACTCGTAGTAGTAGTAGTCGTAGTAGTCGTAGTAGTAGTAGTAGTAGTAGTAGTAGTAGTAGTAGTCGTAGTAGTAATCGTAGTAGTAGCAGCAAGCGTAGTAGTAAGGGAAGTCGTAGGAGTAGTAGTAGTAGTTGTAGTGGCTGTGGTGGTAGTAGTATTCGTAGTAGTAATCAAAATAGTAGTAGAAGTAGTAGTAGCAGTAGTAGTAGTAGCAGTAGTAGTAGTAATAGTAGTAGCAGTAGTAGTAGTGGTAGTAGCAACATTTGTAGCAGCAAGAATAATAGCAGGTGGTAGTAGTCGCAGGAGTGGTAGTAGTAATCGTAGTAATAGTAATGGTAATAGTAGCCGTGGGGGTGGTAGTAGTATTATTAGTAGTAGTAGTAGTAGTAGTAGTAGTAGTAGTAATAGTAGTAGTAGTAGTAGTAGTAGTAGTAGTAGTAGTAGTCGTAGCAGCAGCAGTAGCAGTAGTAGTAGTAGTAGTAGTAGTAGTAGTAATAATAACAAAAGTAGTAGTGGTAGTGTTCGTAGTAGTAGTCGTAGTAGTAGTAGTAGTAGTAGTAGTAGTAATAATAATAATAACAAAAGTAGTAGTGGTAGTGTTAGTAGTAGTAGTCGTATCAGTAGTAGTAGTAGTAGTAGTAGTAGTCGTAGGAAGGGTAGTGCTGGTAGTAGCAGTAGCAGTAGCAGTAGTAGCAATAGTAGTAGTAATAGTAGTCGTAGTGATAATAATAGTGATAGTAGTAGTAGTAGTAGTAGTAGTAGTAGTAGTCAGTTAAGCTAACTATCTTTAGTAGTAGTATAAATAGTGATAGTCTTAGTAGTAGTCCCGTAGTAGTGAGTAGCGTAGTAAGTAGTAGTCAGTATTGGTAGTAATAGTTAGTCCTAGTAGTAGTAGTAGTAGTAGTAGTTAGTAGAAGTAAGTAGGCATTAGTAGTAGCTAGTAGTACTATCCTGTACCTAACCGTAAAAAATCAATATGAGTAGTAGTAGTCAGCTAGTAGTAGTAGTAGTAGTAGTAGAAGTAGTAGTATCAGTATAGTAGTAGTAGTCGTAGGCTTAGTAGGTAGTCAGTAGTCGTAGTAGTATAGTAGTAAGTAGTAGGTGGTAAGTAGTAAATAGTAGTAGTAGTAGTACCAAGGCGTTTATAGTAGTAGTAGTAGTCCTAGTAGTAGTAAGAGCTAGAACGAGCCTAAAAAGCGTAGTCTCGTACAGCTAGTGGTAGCACTGTCAGAAGTTAATAACAATTAAAAAATATAATTAACAGTTCGTTAGCTAATGATATAGTGCCGGCGCGATTAGCCAATATTAGTCGTAGTAATAAGATAGTAGTTGTACTAGTCGATAAGTAGTCGCAGCACCAGTAAGTACGACTGTCGTCTGTAGAGTAGTAGTCAGTAGTTAGTAGATAGTAAGTAGTTTGAGTAGTAGTAGTAGTAGTGGCAGTTGGCAGTGGAAATTAAAACAAGTAGTAGTAGTAGCTAAGTACATCGTCCCCATATTATAGTAGTCAAAGTAGTAGTAGTAGTATTAGTAGTAGTAGTAGTAGTAGTAGTAGCAGTAGCAGTAGTAAAGTAGTAGTGGTAGTAGTAGTCGCAGTCGTAGTAGTAGTAGTAGTAGTAGTAGTAGTAGTAGTAGTAGTAGTAGTATTAGTGGTAGTAGTAGTAGTAGTAGTAGTCGTAGTAGTAGTAGTAGTAATAGTAGTAGTCGTAGTTGTCGCAGTAATCGTAGTAGTATTCGTAGTAATACGAACAGTAGTAGTAGTAGTAGTCGTCGTAGTAGTCGTAGTGGTGGTAGTAGTAGCACTAATGGTAATTGGAGTCGTGGTTGCACTATAGCACTAAGAAACATAATAGTAGCAGTAGTAGTAATAGTAGAAGTAATGGTAATAGTACTCGTAATCGTAGTATTAGCAGTAGTAGTAATAGTAGTAGTAGTAGTAGTAGTAGTAGTAGTAATAGTAGTAGTAGTAGCAACAATAACACTAAAACAAATAATGGTAAGGGTAGTGGTAGTCGTAGGATGAGTAGTAGTAGTGGTAGTAGCAGTGGTAATGGTAGTATTAGTACTCATGGTAGTAGTGGTAGTGGTAGTGATCAAAATCGTAGTAGTTGTTCTAGTTGTAGTAGTAGTAGTAGTAGTAGTAGTAGTAGTAGTAATAGTAGTAAGTGTAGTAGTAGCGGTAGT